GGCGGTGAGGCTAAGTAATTATCGGACTGCCCTCGTAGGCCTTTGCCCGGAACGGTGAAGGCCGGAAATTGGCGCCCATCCTTGGCCATGGGTATCTGCCAATAAATGTAAATGTCTCGGGCTCGACGTAGTCTTTCCAGAATGTGGTTGATCTTAGGGATGGGGTACGCGTCAGGCACTGAGTGATCGTTCAATTGTCTATAATCAAAGCACATACGCCATTCACCCGTCTTCTTTTTGACCAACTCTATCAATGCGCTATGTGGACTCAGTGAAGGTTCGATGGCGTCTTCGCGGAGTAGTTCGTCCACTTGGGTGTCGATCATGCTCTGCATTGCAGGATTCCTCGGGTAGTACCTTTGTTTCAAGGGCTTATAGTCTCGCATTGTAATATCCGATGCTCTGCCACGTGTTATACACCTTGAAGGTCCTTGAAAAGCGCCAACTCACGGGGTATGCATTCCCGCTGGTCGGGTCTTAGGTCATCCTCTTCCGTCATTGATTCTCCACCCTCTGCTTCGTGGCCCTTCCCGGCCGTCGCACCTCCTTATATCGTCTCCTCCTGTTGAGCTCATTTGACGCATCCGGTTGTGCGTGGGGACCTCACTCTGCTTTGTATACATAGTGTCCTTATCATCGGATTCCTGATTCCCTAGAACCGTCGTACACCTACCTTCGAGTACTTCCGGGTTCGTATCCTCTGACGTCATCCGATCGATTTTACTTGGTCGAAGTCGGGGGTCTTCCGCCGAAGGGCTCAATTTTACCTTTAGGGTGGCTTCTCCACACTGTATCCGTGTTCCCATCGCCGTCAAGAAATTCATACCTAATATCTTGCGATCCAACATGGTTGGCATCACCAAGAATGGCATCCACACTCGCGTGCCAGCTAATTCCACGCCAGTACGCCATAACTTATTCACTGCCAGCCTTGACCGATCAGCTAACGCTATTGTAGTGATGATCTCTTGCATCTCCTCGGGTTTTGCTACCATACGAGCGTACCCTTCGCTCGCAAAGCTCCTCGACGCTCCCGTGTCCACCGTGGCGTCCACCCATCGGCCTCCGATCTGCACGGTAGCAGTGATCAGGCCGTTGCTTATCCTTAATGGTGGGTGTCTTGGTGTCTTGCCGCATCTCAGCGAAGACGTTGTTCGTTTTCCGGGGCATCTCGGCGACAACAATCGACGGTAAATATGTCCATTCGACCGCAGTCCCAACAAAAGTTCGGGCATGCATTAGTACAACCCCGCCTAAAGTGACCGACTACTACAAGCTCGCTGTACGTCGATGTTTGTTAGGGGCTGTCTCATCATTCGATGAGTTGCATTTCCTCCTTGAATGGGTACCTCGGGGCTTCGAAAGGGGTTCGGCGTCCGACGAGGGTTGGTCCTATCCCAGTCTGTAGACCCCATCCTAGGAATGCCTGCGCGACTCGACGTCAGCTGTCTCACACTTTCATATTCAGTCGCCATGTGGGTTAATTGTTCCAGCGTCTCGAACTCTTATATACAGACGATATTCTGGTGCCATATTTCCGTAGATCCGATAGAGTTCTTCTTCCTTTTGGTATCCGGCTTGCTGCATCGTGGTCCTCAACTCGGCCAAATACTCCTTAAATTTCTCGTCCACTCCCTGGTTATGGGCTCGGATTTCGTCCTCTAGTCGACCGAAGTAAGGGGCAGGAAGAAACTCAAGAACTCGGACCGAAACTCTGCCCACGTAGCCGTCTGTAAGCGGCTCGTGCGGAACCATCGTGAGGCACTACCTTCCAAAATCTCAGACATGGCGCGGGGTACTTCCTCCTGGTCGATTCCGTATGTTGCTATTTTCTACTCAAGTTCGGCGATCAAGGTCAGCGGGTCCGACGCTCCTTCGAATCGAAGATTCCATTTGTACATCCGCTCGGCTAGCAAATGTCGGGGCAGAGTGATGGTGAGTGGAACTTCTGACTCTGGTGGCTTCAAGACGCCGTGGCTTCCGAGTGATGGGGTGATGAAATCTCGTGACGTGCCGAGGTTGACTGCTCGATAGCTTGTCAGTCTTTCGGGAGAGGCATAGCCGGCGAAATATGGAACCTGACTCTGGCTAACTTGGGTCATTTTGGCTCCTGGCGTAAACTCTTTGTCGCCTCCTAGTCGGTTGGGGGTTACAGCTCTCGAGCTGTACTGCCTTCTGCGTTTCTGCTACGGTGCCGTCGGCGCTGAACCCGAGCTCGAGTGCTAGAGCGGCTAGCTCATCTTTACGGCGGGCATAAATCCATCGTACTCCTACGCCTGGGTTTTCAATCGAATCGGCTTCTTTGTACTCGTCGTCGGACACCTTCGTATCAGCCATGGTTTATTGTATTACGCGAAACTCCTTCATTTTCATTTGCAATATCGATCCTTTAATTTTCCTTCTCCTTTTCCTATGCAGTCCTTCGCTCTAACAGTTTGTAACACTCGGGATAAAGATCTTTATCTTAGTGGGTCTTTAGGCCACTTTGGTGTTGCTTTAGTTATCATCAATGTCCCTGCTCGGGCGCCACTTTTATGGATGCTCTCTGGTCCTTTTAGAAGGAATTTGTAAAATCACTGAGACACTGGGCTGCATTATTTATGATTTATTTTACTAAAAAAGTAATTCTTTAAAATAAAGAATTTTTTACCAATGTCGATGCTTTTAATATATATGACGAATAAGGAATACTCAAAATGAGTTGAGCGAATTTAAAAGTCAAGCCACACGGCTTTAGGTGAGTGGGTGCTCTTACATTAGTGGGCGCACGTTGTAAGGACGCTCTCTGGCCGGGATACAACTCTCATTCGGATCTAGAGGTCCTTTTACAAGTAATTTGTAAAATCACTGAGACACTTTATAGTTAATTCGGTGAAAAATCGGTAATTTTTTAAAAAATTTTATTGGAAATACGGATAGTCTAAGCTCAATTTTGTTTTTTGAATGTGATTGGGCAACATTTAAACAATGTGTGATTTTTTTTAAAAATTAAAATTAAAAATTGACTGAGATACAGGCAATCTCCGGCGGCGCCTCAAAGAAAAGATGTTTTGCGCTGTACACGATAACCGGTCACGGAATCATCTGAAATGAATAAATTCAATTGCATTAGTTAAAGAACAAGATTCCTCAGGTAACGCTGACGCGTTTTTATTTATTTTTTTTTGATTTTTTAAAGCACTTGAAAGTCAAAAACATCGATTTTCGCCTAAAACGTCGAGATATTTGTTGCTCTAAAAATAATAAATTTTCAAAAAAAAACTCGACAGCGATACCTGAGGAATTTAGTTGAGAACAACTGTGCAAAATTTCAAAACGATCCGTCCGATAGATTTTGCAGGAGAGCGTTTTAAAGTTTTGGACACCCATACAAAAAGATCGGAAGCTTTTCTCGGATCGATCTAAAACTTAAACACAATATTCTCAAGATGTTGTGCACTCAGAAAAAAAAAATGTAAATACTATACCCCCTCTTAAGATTACTCAATATTACAGAAAGTTAAATTAAAGTTAATATTATTATTAACACCAAAATATGTTAGGCTTAGTAAGTCTATTTATAATAGATCAAATTGTAATCTAATAATTATTATTTATTGGAAATGTATTAGTTATATATATTTTGGTTCGCATTAAATAAAGGCATTTTTAGTATAGAAAACTTGTTATTGTAAATGTTGGCAAGTCGAAACGACTGTTTTTAAAAAAGCATATTTTTAACTTAAAACTTTATAAAACTACTATATTTAAATTTGTAGGTGATTTGCTTATAAACAACTAAGCTAAGTCGATTTGGATTGCTGCTAAATAGTAATTCTAAAATTGTTTAAAATTACCATATCTCGGATATTTCCGATTTGACATATATAGTACCTTTATTCGAAAGAAGACTTTGGGAAAATTTGTATCGTGTTTGCTTTAAATCTGATTGAGACTATGTTGCGTAAAAGCGAACAGACGACTCTCCCGGTGATGCGATCGAGAATGTATATACTTTATAGGGTCGGAAATGTCTCTAACATTGTTTTTTTAACTTTTGACGTCGAACCTGGTTTGGACTTACCAAATTTCATAAGGATCGGCCGACTATATCCTGTAGCTGCCATATAAATGAACGATTGGAAATGCCATAACTTTGGTGTTATTAAACTTAGGAAGTTGGGATTTTGTATGAGTATTAAGAATGCATCATATGAATTATTTTGGAGAATATAATTTACAAAAGATTCTGCAAGGGTCTATCAACTTCCGTTCTGCCCGAAGTTAGCATTCCTTTCTTGATTAATTTTTAAGCAGTTTAACCAAGCCAAAAACTTACAAATATTTTGCAGAATTAACCTTTTTATACCCTTGCAGAGGGTATTATAATTTTAGTAAAAAGTTTGCAACGCAGTGAATGAGACATTTTCGATCCTATAAAGTATATATATTCTTGATTAGCATCACCAGGAGAATCGATCTTGCCATGTCCGTCCCTCAGTTTTACAGCTATATGAAACCATCTTGAAACATTCCCAAGAGTTGTCATTCTATTGTAGGTAGTATATAAGTCGAACGAGCTGGATCGGGCGACTATATCATATAGCCCCCATAGGAACAATACGGGAAAAATATTTTAAAAAGTATAACTTCGTTGTTTAAAATTTTAAGATAGAACATCTATAACATATAGCTCCCATAGGAAAATCAAAAAAATTAAAAACAATGTATTTTGGTGTTTTTTATTTATTACGATGGCAAAATGCAGCGCAAAATCGACATGGCTTCATTGTTTTTAGTAATATGAAGAAATATATTAGTAATCGAAATGTACTCGGCTTTATATACCCTTACTGTTATACAAAACGCCTACGTTTCAATATGTTGAATATATACAATTAAAATGGATTTATTTTTAATATTTTAACACGAAACTAATTTGTGTTCAATCATTTCCTATTTATAATATCTTCTTCCAAACTTATCCCTTATAAATTATTAATTTACTTACTTTATTTTAGATCTTTCGCAAGGAAAGGTACGATAAAATAAGGAACAGCATTTTAGGAGACATTTTGACGTCGATTGATCGCTTGCCTTCGTCAAAAAAAAATCTACGCCCATATAAACTAACAAATAATGGAGGAAATATTCAAATGGTTTCAGCACTAGTACTACAACTAATTCAATGCGCAACAATTTTACCAGATTCACTTTGTGATAATGGAAAATTAAGTAATAAGTTTCAATTGAATGTTGCCATCGAGGAAGACGTTTCAAGCGGAGCTACAAAAACAACACAGCCTAATCACGATATTCTTGTTTTACAAAAGTATGATGTCGCTGTCAGTATTGGTGGAAATTTTTTAACAACTTTTTTAAACAAATGCAAATCACGGTCTAATGAAATTGATTTCCGACCACTTTTTGAAAATTTTATTCATGATTTACTGGCCACCGTCAACAAGCCAGAATGGCCCGCATCTGAATTATTGCTTTCGCTATTAGGAACTATGCTGGTTCGCTATGTGTCTGACAAAGGTATAGAACAGAGCATTCGCTTAGTTTCATTGGATTACCTGGGCATTGTAGCTGCTCGTTTGCGTAAGGATACTGTTGAATCCCGATGTAAGGTTAACATAATTGATTCAATGATAAAATCGATTAAAATGGAACAAGAAAAGGAGGGTGATTACACAGCAAACAATGTATGTAACAAGTTTATTGTACTTGTTAAAAAAATTATTTAAATATATTTACAGGTTCAATTTGAATTACATCCCGAGGAGCAGCGAATCGAGTTTTTACAAAAAATTCTTTTGGATTTTCTAGCTGTAAATGCTCAAGAAGAAAATTTAATTTGGGACTATGCGCGACACTTTTATTTGGTACAGTGGTATCGGGATGTAATTTATCAAAGACGTCGGATAAGGGATGGTGAAAAAGGATTAGCTATCAGGAAGTCTAAATGTCGGACTAAACGTAAGACTGGTGGTAAGTTTACAATTATTAGTAAAGTTTTAATTTATTTTATAATTATAGGCATAGGTTTTAGATTTAGATTTGTTGGTGTAAAACTACAGTCTTAAATATAGCACCATAAAATAGTAAACGTTTTTGTATACTACAAATAAATTTTAAAAAAATAATGCTTAGAAATAAATGTTAAAAGTCTAAATTTAGCCTTAAATAACTAAAGATATGGAATGCATCTTCGTTTACGCTATGTTTAATATCTTATGCATTCACATAATTATTTTGACACTTGTACAAAATTTGACTCCTTTTTCCGTCAGTTTTTAGGCACAAATTAAATAAATTTTGTTGTCCTTGAAGACATGTGCGTTTAAACAAAAAAATCGATTTTTAATTTGTATTATTGTTTAATGTTTGTTAACCCTTTGTCCCATCACCGATCTGCGTAAAGTGGGCTCGGAAACTCGGAGGACTAAAGCATATACCTTAGGAAGAATCAAAAAATGAAAAATTGAAATAGCTTGATTGTTTTTAAGGAAATACTCAAAGAAATATTTAAAAATTGACATAGCTTACCTTGATTGTTTTTAAGGAAATCCTCATAGAAATATTTAAAATTAAAACATGTTTAGGTTTTACAACGAGTTAGAAAAAATAGTTTAATATTTAACTTTGACTTAAGAGGTGATATGTCATGCCAACAATACCAAAATAACTATTTCATTGGCGATAGACGTTGCAAGTAAAAAGGTACTTAAGATTCTTTCAGAATTATAGTCGTATAATTCTATAAATTTTAAAGAAAAAAAAGAAAGGTAGCAAACTTCGGCAACCCGTACTTTATATACGCTTACAGCTGGTCCTTCTATTTTCTTCTCTTGTCGTCAAACGGCTTTGGAACGCAAGCAATTTCAAATAATAACTCCTTCTCTTCCTATATTAAATTCTCTCAAATTCAAAGTTATTAAATCCAAAAAAAAATTTGGTGTAACCAGAGATATGCGAAAAGGCGCTGAACCAAAAACTCAAAACAATAAATAAACTGAATCCAACAGCAATAGTGACGAATAAATAAATTAGCCTAGGAGCTCAGTAAACCAAAAGAAACTGCTTCTACTCTTACTTCTCAACCCGGGACACCGAAGTGGAAAAATTGTCACTAAAGAGCAACTCGGCTCTACTCACCGTTGATAACCAAAGGGCACGGTCTTGCTCTCCTTACTCCCACGACAGTGTAAAATCGTCGACAAATTGCGCACCAACAACAAGCAGTGCGACAATTCCATCCAACGCAGCAAATAAAACCTCAACAACAACAGCAGCGGCCACTATCGCGATGCCAACGACTGCAGCGACTGCAGCGACTGCAAATAAACCAAAGCGATCAAATAACAACAGACACTCTAAAGAAACACAAGCCCCCTTCAATCTACATCAGGGAGAAAAGCTTGAACGCCCTGGTCCACAAAATTATTGAGCTGGTCGGGAATGGGAACTTCCATGTTGTTTCGCTTACTAAAGGGAATATTCATGAAACAAAGGTGCAAACAAAATATAAAGAACACTACCAAGCCGTGCCCAAATGCCTGGACGAAACAAAGAAAAATAAAAAGCAGAAAGGTCGTTCAAGTGGTAATAAAGGAAATCAAAGAGCTGAAGTGTCGCATGCGACAAGCGAACGGAACGCAAACACTTCATCGCAAACAACGCCAGAAGTCTTCTTCGTTAAAACTGCGAGATCCTTTTTCGGTCCCCTAAATAGCTCCAACGGCATCTATGCTGATGGTCTACGATCTGGGATGGAAAATCCACTCTATCCTCACCAAGAAAGCTCTCAGTACCCCCAGCACAGCCAAATAGCAAAATGGAAACTATGATCCGTACCCTGCAACAAAACATTTTAGAACTAATGTCATTCATGAAAACGCCTATGAAAGCACTTGTTTAAAAGTAGAACATGGTAATACAGTTGCTCGTAGCACAACAGTCTAAATAATCGATGCATAATCTACTAATATCATGAACTTGAATTAAGCCCTGAAGAAAGAAGCATTGGAAGACGTTCTCGTTGCAGCACCCAAAATCTCCACACCTTCTAATCGAATAAATACTTTAGATCCAATCAGCAAATCGAACAGCTGGTGCGAGAAAAGAGGCGCATGCGTCGTGCCTGGCAGACCAGCAAAGCGTTGAAGAAGCCACCCGTTCTCTCGATCTTGCTCTCCAGCAAAAGGCAGAAAATACAGAGCTGCGGTCCATCGAGAAACATTCGCCAATCGATAACAATAAGGAACTCTTTAGGATGCTGGGCCCGGCACTTCGTTTCGGTCGAACGAAATCAAAAAAAGTCTTTAGGGAAATAAAACCAAAATGACTCCAAGTGATGAATTACTTACCCCAAAAATTCTTATTGAACTTAAAAACTTTGCTATTGAGGTCGTTTGTAAACTCTTCAATGGGATATTGAATCTCAGCTACTTTAAAAAGCTGAGGAAAATAATACCGAAGCCCGGAAAAGACCACACAATTTCGTGGCGTTACAAGGTATTTTTCGAATTCGCTACTTCTGCGACGTGTATAAGAACCATGCTATCCCTTCAAGGCTGCTTACCAAAGCAGTGTTTTGTAAATAAAACGCAACTGCCATTAAAATACGGATATACATGTGGCGCTTCAGAACTCGACTTTTATAAGTGCAAAAAGTCGCATCGGTGTGCATTTAATGGCAATACCGTTAAACCCGCTCCCCACGATTCGCTACTTACGCATAGGCCTCTTGATTGTTGTCGTAGCGCTAGTTTTACATCAAAGGTCCAAGAAAAAAATATATTAATAAAGCATGTTATTTTGACATTACAATTAAAAAAAAAATTTTAATTGACAAAGAGGCAAGCGATTTGAAAACAAGTTCTGTTGGGTGGGACGCCATAAACCTCATAGAAAAATCAACCAAATATCGCACCGAGTTTTAGGAAAACACTTATATTTTTCGCTCTCATCAAATTCCTTCAGCCTATCCTTTTGTATCGACACGACTTTTTTAAGAAATGATATCAAAATATTTATATTTTATTAACAAGAGCTGACCCCATATAAGTTGGCTATTAAAAAGCCAGAGCACATACACTGATGGACAATTTAATAGGTGTGCAGTTATTTTAAATTTAAATCGATATAAACATAAGATTTAAGGGGGTGTTATAGTATTAAACATTTTTTCCTGTTTTTTTTTTTTTTTTTTCTGAATGTACATTATTTTGAAATTATTGTGTTAAAATTTTAGATCGATCCGAGTAAAAGGTACGTAAGCGCGTTTTATATTGAATTTTTGGGTGTCCCAAACTTTAAAAAAGTTGCCGCAAAACAAGTTTTCTTCGAGACGCCGCCGGAGATTGCCAGTATCTCACTCAATTTTTAATATTTTTGGATGAAAAATTTCACACATGTTTTTTAAATATTTCCCTATCTCATGCAAAAACCAAATCTTAAAAAATGTCCGATTTTGCACCGAATTAACTAAACCGCCCCTTAATAAGGAGGCTATACTATTTTAATATCATCACACTGGTTCGGTGCGAATTGGGAGAAATCCGGGAATTAATTAGCTTAGTAGGAAAATTTGTGATTTGATTTTTTGCTTTTATAAGCGTAACAAAGTACAACATTTAAACTATGTTTTTATAAATTGTCATCGAAAAAAAAATAAATGAGCCGTTCGCATTACTCGTTACTGTTTCTAAAGGTAACTACGTTGAGTTTTTTTTATTAAATTTTTGGATTTTTGTTAACACTTTAAAGTCAAAAATGTGATTTTAGCCTAAAAATTTGATATATTAGTTATTATGAAATGAAAAATAATAATTTAGGTACAGAAATAGTGTGCAAAATTTCAAAACAATTCGTCCAGTAGATCTTGCAGGATCGTGTTCACTGACTTTGAAAAGGCAACTTTTCAGGAGACAACTTTTTAGACACCCAAAATTCGAATACAAAATACAAATATACTTCGGAAGTTTTACTCGGATCAATCTAAAATTTTAACGCAATATTCTTCAAATGATGTGCATTCAGAAAAAATTTTTAAAAAAACAAGAAAGGAAAGCTAACTTCGGGCGGGAGCCCTTGCAGAATATTCTGTAAATTATATTCTCCAAAACTATTCATATGATTCATTCTTAATCCTCAAAAAATCCCAACTTAAATCGTTCAGTTATATGGCAGCTGTAGGATATAGTCGGCCGATCCTTATGAAATTTGGTAGGTCGAATTGATTGGCCAAAAACGAAATCCCAACTTCCTAACTTAACAAACACCAAATTTATGGCATTTCCGATCAATCAGTTATATGGCGGCTATAGGATATAGTCGGCCGATCCGTATGAAATTTGATTGAATGGACAAAAATAAAACCCATAGAAAATCCCAACTTCCTAACTTTACAAACACCAAAGTTATGGCATTTTCGATCGTTCAGTTATATGGCAGCTATATGATACAGTCGCCCGATCCGGCTCGTTCCGACTTATATACTACCTGCAATAGAAAGACAACTTTTGGGAAAGTCTTAAGCAGATAGCTTTAAAACTGAGAGACTAGTTTGCGTAGAAACGGACGGACGGACGGACAGACGGACATGGCTAGATCGACTCTCTCCTGGTGGTGCTGATCAAGAATATATATACTTTATAGGCTCGGATATGTCTCCTTCACTACGGTGCAAACTTTGACTGAAATTATAATACCCTCTGCCAGGGGTAAAGTTAAAGTTAAAGTAATTTAAACGTTTTTAACCAAAAAAGTTTGAATGTTTGGGTAATTTTAGAGTGATTGGCGATGTCGAAAAAATATAAGAAAATGTGTTATAAATATTACATCAGAATCGTCCTATCTGTATTTAATGTAACGCTTTAGTTCTTATAGAATAACTAATAACACTAACTTACAAAATTAAATCGACAATATATATCCATATATAAAATTTTGGATTTCCGGTGCAGTTAGACTCTATGATTAAGAGATAATATTTGGTCATAAAATCCATTCTTCTAGAAATAGAAACCAAAAAAAAAATTAGTTTTCTGCAAAAAAATTAACGTTGTTAAATCTAACTTTGTAGTTAAAACATTCTACATTTTATGGATTAGAACAATCTTTGCAATCCTTTCTTTGTAAGAATTTAATTTTATATTGTAGTGGGTAGCATTATATCTAGTAATAAAAAAAAAAAAAACAAAAAACAAAAACGCCATTTTAAGCAGGCTTAATTCAGTTGTTTTAATTTTTGAAGGTGAATATTTGGATACATCAGATTCTGGATCGTGCGAAGAAATAGACATCGAAGACACACAGAAACATGTAAATCCCTCCATTGACGACATAGATTTTGAGCTTAATCTGGAAATGTTTAACGCTTTGGAGGCAAGAAAGCTATATTTAATCAACAAAATAAAACCATTTGCAGTTTCTGGCGAGCAAGCCCACACATCAAATCAGCACATTAAAACATACATAGATTATAATAATGCACAGCTAATAGCGCAGTATCTAGCCACAAAACGACCTTTCAGTCAATCATTCGATGGATGCTTAAAGAAAATTATTTTAGTAGTTAAGTGAGTATATATTAAATTCATATTTTCTTACAGTTATACTAATTTCTTGTTCCTGATATTACGTAGTGAACCGTCCATTGCAGTAAGGACACGGGCAATGAAATGCCTTGCAAACATTGTGGAAGTCGATCCATTGGTACTGAAACGAAAAGACATGCAAATGGGTGTGAATCAGAAATTCCTTGACACAGCTATTTCAGTACGAGAAGCGGCGGTAGATTTGGTTGGAAAATTTGTGCTTAGTAATCAAGAACTAATCGATCAGTATTATGACATGCTGTCGACACGAATATTGGTAAGAAGTCTAATAAAATTATTTCGTAAATCTAAAGAAAACATTTTTTGTTTTAGGATACTGGCGTCTCCGTACGAAAAAGGGTCATAAAAATTTTACGAGATATCTGTATAGAGTATCCAGATTTTTCAAAAATTCCCGAAATTTGCGTTAAAATGATACGACGTGTTAATGACGAAGAAGGCATTCAAAAACTTGTTACTGAAGTTTTCATGAAAATGTGGTTTACACCATGTATAAAAAATGACAAAGTGAGAAATAAATATTTAAAAATAAGTATTAATGCTCAAAGATATAGGTTATATGCAGTGACTCAATCTCAAACCTCAATGCGTTTTAGGTCGATATACTTACTTCAACGATTCCCTAACCCTCTAGTGTAAAATAGTGGATCGAACAGTTACCATTTGAGAGCAGAAGTCCGTCTGATTCAGGCCAAACTCTTTAAAAATCCTTTCCTTGTCCCTATTGGCAAAAATTTGTGGAAAAATGTAGCATTGCCAAAACAGATTGTAATCGCTTTGGCGATGATTTTATTATCTTATCCTTATTAACTGTCACTGGTCATCCGCGGGCTTGCGTGTTTCGATCACAAATTTTCCACTTCGGAATCGCCTGAATATCCTAGTCGATGTCATTATGAACATCAAGATCTTAGAAACTATGGAATATAAAGTATTGGCTTAAACGTGTTTTATGAAAGTAATCAATATATATGAGTTTTTGCTAATATTACGCCAGGTATTCTGTTACTATAAATTACTATAAATTAGATAAAGAATTTTATTTGCCGGACAAATTTAAGACTGAATTTTTGAGTGAATGAGTACTTCATTATACTTAAAAAAGGGTTATACTTATATTAACGCCAAAAAAATGTTAACATATGGTATACATGTTTGACAGCCTAAACTACTACACATATTGTCATACTATTGAAATTTGTAATATTTTTTTTTGTAATTTAGCTTGGCATACAGCGGAAAATCAATCAAATAATTGACGTAGTAAACACTGCTCATGATACTGGAACCACTTGGCTAGAAGGACTTCTTATGAGTGTGAGCAAAAATTTTCTTTTTCTCTTAATAATTTATCATAATTTTATATGTGTTTTTAATACAGATTTTCAAACCAAAGGATACTATGTTAAAATCCGATGGATGCCTACAAGAACCTATAAGGAAGAATACCGAGCCCCCACAGGAAATTGTGATAGCTTGTCAACAATTAGCTGACGGTCTAGTTAACAGACTGATTGAATTAGAAGACACTGATAATGCGCGAATGTTGGGCTGTATTACTACACTTCATTTGCTGGCTAAAGTACGGCCACAGCTGCTGGTTAGGCATGCGATGACAATAGAGCCCTATCTCAATATAAAATGTCATTCTGCCACAGCTGCAAAATTCATATGTGCTGTGGCGGATATTCTTGAAAAAGTAGTTCCTCTGGTCAACAATGCCAGTGAATCTTTTTTGGCATCGTTGGAAGAGCATTTAATGTTATTAGTTGTTTCACGAAACCAAGCTGAAGTCACTAGTTGTGTTTCTTGCTTAGGCGCACTCGTGAATAGGATTACACATAACTTCAAACTGATCCGTGACTGTTTTCAAAAGTATGTATTCAAGTTTATAAACATGATCTTTGATATTATATTTATAAGATTTGAGAACGACATTTTGATTTTATTATCATAACCAACAACTTTTTAATGTTTCATGTAACTGGGTAAGATTTTCCCATTGAAGCTAATGAATATTATAGTTAGGTGATGGTGTTTTAAAGTAAGAGTAGAAATAGATTTAGGCGACCCATTAACTCGGGACTCTCCACATCCCCGTGAATAAGTTTACGAATAAAAGTAGTTCCAATTATCGTTCTACGGTTGGATAAGGAAGGTAGATTAATTAGAAGAAGTCTACTAGAGTAAATATAGGGCTTGCATCCAAGTTAAGGTCCCATAGAACAAATAGCAAAAATTTAATTTGCACAGACTCTATGCGGTCTACAAATACACCATACTGGGGACTGCAAACTGGTGAACAGTACTCCGGGATTGGATGGACTATTGAAATTAATAAAGTCGTTGTGATATATAGATCATCGAATTCCGTTTACCACCTCTGAGCACTACATTGGCATTATTTACCATGGGCGTAATAAGGAGAACCCAATTTTTGGGTCCAGACCGTTCCAAAACTCCGCAACGATCTTTAACTCCTCAGAGAAAATTTCAAAGAGGGAGACAGATAGTTTTACCGTTGTACAATGATACCAAAGTGGTTATTTTTATACCCGTTACTCGTAGAGTAAAAGGGTATATTGTATTCGTGCAAAAGTATGTAACAGGTAGAAGGAAGCGTTTCCGACCCTATAAAGTATATATATTCTTGTTCAGGATCACTAGCCGAGTCGATCTAGCCATGTCCGTCTGTCCGTCTGTCTGTCCGTCTGTCTGTCCGTCTGTCTGTCTTGTCCGTATGAACGCTGAGATCTCGGAAACTATAAAAGCTAGAAGATTGGCATTTTGCATGTAGATTTTAGGAGTTCCTACGCAGCGCAAGTTTGTTTCAAAATGGTGCCACGCCCCCTCTGACGCCCACAAGCCACAAGCCGTGGCCACAGTTTTGATCCTATTATAAAAATTTTAATTGATATGTATTTGTTTCGTCAATACCTATTGATTGGCCCAATAAAAGTTTGCCACGCCCACTCTAACCCCCAAAAACCCATTAAACGCTTAAGCCTGGCTAGCGCCTACATTTCCGCCTTTCATGGCCCGTAGCGCCATCTAACGGATGACTTTGGAACAGCTGGCCAAGGTGCTAATTTGAGCGGCGAAAAACATACAAGAAGGCATATTTATATTAAGTTGTTTAGCTGAGTAACGGGTATCTAATAGACGAGGCACTCGACTATAGCGTTCTGTCTTGTTTTTGGCATAAAGTCGAACATTTCATGAAAAGATTTTTTCAAAATACGAAAACATGTTTGAATTGTTTAAAAAAATTGGTGTTGAATTCTTTAAAAGATTGTAAGTAACCCTGGCGATTTTCAGTAAGAAATGAAATTTCGGAGCGCAAAACAAAAACACGACCGTTCATTGTGAAGTGCGAAAGAATTTATATTTCATGAAATTTTAGATATTCTAACTAAAACAATTACGTTTTTTTAAACTATGCGGCAACCCTACTTATTTTGGCGGCCACTCAAATTCAGCTGAGTGCCAATAGCAATGTTTACATTTCCATTACTCCAGAACGGATTGACGAAAAATTAAAATTGAAATTGAATCGCACTCCCTTTACCTGAGTAACGGGTATCTGATAGTCGGGGCACCCGACTATAACGTTCTCTCTTGTTTATGCTTAACTTGATCAGGGTAAAAGCGCGGGCTGATCGTACGACTATATCCTAGAGCTCCCATAGGAACAATAGGGTGAAATCGGTTCCAAATTGATGTTTTTTAGAATATTTCGCGCAGTGTATAAGCTATTGACATACATTTTTCCAAGTCTTATTTATTTATGCATACCTTGATCAGGGTAAAAGCGCTTGCCGATCGGACGTCTTTATCTTATAGCTTCCGTACGAAAAATTATTGAAGGCTGTGAAAATATCCCTTTTTTTATATTTTTATAGGACATTTTTGCAGTATAAAAGCTATTGACATGAAACTATGCAAATCTAGTTTATTTATGTATACCTTATTCCTTTCGCTACTTTTTCAGTTTTAGCAATTTCGGTAAAGTCTGCAAGGGTATTAAAACTTCGGTTTGCCGAAGTTAGCTTCCGTCCTCGTTGAAAATATAATAAATGACAACATCTCTGAGTTATAATTAAATTGAATTCAAACCAAATTGAAACGTTTTATGTAAAACGAAAATTTCGAAACCAAAATATATTTTGTTAGAGAAGCCAAATATTTTTTTAAGGTTCATTTATTCTAATTTAAATTTAAGTTTTATAAAAATTCAGACGGATATATATTTATATATATAGGAACATATAAATCGGAACATAGAAGGAAAATCGTCAAAGCTTGGTTGTTTCTAACATGTTTTACAAAAATAAATAATATATTTTACATAGCTGCTATAGATACAATCGTAAAAGGCGGCCCTTAGCAGTTCTTTCGCTCCTTCTGTTTGACACTAACTTTGAGACTGAATTTCTTATTTTTCTACCCTTGGAAATAATAACTTGTAAAATATTAGTTGAAAAATGTATTGTGTCGATAAATATTTACCGAATAAATTAATACCAGTCAAAAATTGTAAGTACAAACAAGAAAGGATGCAAGCTTCGGCAAGGCGAAATTTATTACCCTTGCAGTTATTACAAAACGACTACATTTCGATTTCTATGTCTATATTACTAAAAACAATGAAGCTAAGTCGATTTTGCGCTGCATTTTGCCATTTTTTCTATGGCAGCTATATGATATGACTTCGTGTGGGTTCCGGTTTTTTGCGCTGTCATTCTTATTCTCATTTTGATGCTCGGGCATTCATTGCACGAGTTCGGTCGTTCAGTCGCAGAGAGGCGCTTTTTAAAGAAGGTTGCGCTTGCGCGTGAATTGGTCTTTATATGTATGCGTGTTCATCCATTTTCATGCAGGGGTGCATGTGTGCGTTTATTTCAATTCGATGCGGCAAGAATATTTTGTCTTTTGCTACTTTTCATAATGTGTACCCTAACAATATGGGCGTATTCACTATTAGGTTAAACATAAAAATAAGAATATTATATGTTATAATAATTATTAGGTTAATGATAAAAATAAGAATATTATATGTTATAATAAAATTTTAATATTTCCTCTATAATGCAATCGTCGCTAGGGTATGCAGGCACCATCCGCTCGCAGAACAACAACCAAAGCTGATTAGGTTTAAAGTTTTCTCAACCACTGAAGAACAGTCTGTGTTTTAAGTGACACCGACTGCGATATGCCCTGTTCATTTCTCAATAGATTGATTTCTATTAATTGGAATACAAACATATATGCAAAACTTTTAACTGCTACCACTGATTTGAATTTGTAAGCCAAAATTAAATTTATGCTGAAATATTAAAATTTTATTATAACATATAATTATAAGAAAGCCGAAGCAAAATAATATAATTTCTTTGATAATTTTAAAAAATTATTGTTTTTTGCGAATTATTTCTTTAAGAGGCTATTTATTATTTCTCCTTTGCGAGTACACCTCTCATATTTATAAAACGAAAATTTTCACATTGTAATAATTTGTCCTGATGATTTTAACACAATCCGGTAGTTTTCAAACCATTTCTAAAAAACACTCAGTAACGGAAGAGATGAAATTCGTTTTTCTTTTTGTTTTGGTGTTATTTAATTTGTGGCCTTTTTTTAGTTTTATGAATGTTTATGTTTTTGTATTATTATTGTATTTAATGTTTTATTTTTTGATTTTGCGTTTTGTTAATTTTTGTTTTACTTATACAAGAATTCATTTTGAAACATCACGACAGCAGCTTTTAAGCGCTGTCCCATCTGCAAACAAAATTTGTTATACCCTTGCAAAGGCTAATATAATTTCAGTCAAAAGTTTGCAACGCAGTAAAAAAAACATTTCCGACCCTATAAAGTATACATATTCTTGATCAGCATTAGGAGCGCATCAGGAGAGTCGATCTAGCCATGCCCGTCCGTCCGTCTGTCTGTCCGGCCGTCCTTCCGTTAGTCCGTTTCCTCGCAAACTAGTCCCTGAGTTTTAAAGCTTTCTGCTTGAAATTTTCCCAAAAGTTGTCTTTCTATTGCAGGTAGTATATAAGTCGGAACGAGCCGGATCTGGCGACTATATCATATAATTCCCATACGAACAATCGTTTGTTGTTTTTAATTTTTTTTTTTTTGTTTTTTGGGATTTGGTAATATTTAAATATTATGGAATTACGATTTTAAATAAATTTAACTCAGACAACAATATCATATAGCTGCTATAGAAGCGATGCAGCGCAAAGTCGACATAGCTTCATTGTTTTTAGTACTATAGGCATAAAAATAGAAATGTCGTCGATTTGTAACAACTGCAAGGGTATATAAACTTCGGTTTGCCGAAGTTTTGCTTTTTTCTTGTTATACCCTTGCAGAGGGTATTATAATTTTGGTCAGAAGTTTGTAACGCAGTGAAGGAGACGTTTCCGATCAGGATCAATAGGGGTGTCGATATAGCCATGCCCGTCTGTCCGTCCGTCTGTCTGTCCGTCTGCCCGTCTTTCCGTCTGTTTCAATACCGTTTGCGAGCTCAGTTTAAAAGCTAGCGATCTGAAACTTTCAAAGACGTCCTTAAATATGTGCACGCAGATCAAGTTTGAAAATCGACCTGATCGGACGTCTATATCCTATAGCTCCCATAGGAACAATCGGATATATCTTGCAAGAATTGATGATATTTTTTTTATTGTATACCTTGAGCAGGAAAAAAGCGCGTGCCGATCGGACGTCAATATACTATAGCTCCAATTGGAACAATAGGGTGAAATCGGGTAAAATTTAATGATTTTCCGTATATTTCGCGCAATAAGCTATTGACATGAATCTTTTCAAATCGTATTTTTTTATGCTTACCTTGATCAGAGTAATCT